CAGCGAATGCGTCTACTTCTCAAGCTGGGAGATCTGCTTGAGGAACAACGAAGTTGGCATTTTGGAGAAATTGTGGTGTTAAATATTTTTGGTTAGTCTAAGTTATAGTAAGAGGTCTAGACTGTTGAGCTATACTTTTCAAGTAATGTAATTTATGTTTTAAACACTTGTATTTGATTTTCACTGAGTTTGTAGATGTAAATGTGGAAGTTTATGTGAAGACTTTGAATATTGTATATAAATGCCCATGAGGTTTGTTATTTGTTTATTTGAATGATGGAGTTCAGTTTTTGAAAAACTTATACTCTTTTACTAATATATAATGTCTCATAAATTAAATAAATGAATATAAGAAAGGTAAGCGGAAATGTCATTGATTCTTTGTAGAAAAAAGGGGGGGGTCTTGACACTTGGGGATACGTAGGAGCAAATATCAGACCTATCGAGTCAAAACAGTTTTTAAAAATATTTTTTTCTTTTCTGAGATATAACTTAATATTTTAATAAATAAATTTTCTTTCTTTAAAATAAAAATAGCAACACTTATTTTAAGGGTTAAATAAATACTTTTCAAAATTATAATAAATTTGCACAATTAATTTAAGGTAACCATTATTTAAACAGACGTTGTAGAGTGCTAATATCTTCCCTACACGTAAATGACTCACAAATCCATTTTTGGTTTCAAAGATCAAAATTTTAAGTTTTCCAAGGTTTTCGTTGATAAACTTTGGTGGTAATTTTTCTTAAAAACGTTTTTGTCATACCGTTGTGACCGCCCGATTGTGACACTCCACAACACTTTACCATTTACAATCACAGATTTGCAATTGAAGATTTAATGCTTCAAAAATTATTTTCTCAAAGAGTGAGGATGTCTAGAGTCTATACTTTTGGGATTATGTTCTTAAGATTTATATATATTTATGAATGAAATGATTTTATTTAATTTTCAAAAGCCTAATGCTTCAAAAATTATTTTCTCAAAGAGTGAGGATGTCTAGAGTCTATACTTTTGGAATTATGTTCTTAAGATTTATATATATTTATGAATGAAATGATTTTATTTAATTTTCAAAAGCCTCATGTTTGCTGCTTGACTCTTCAACAACAATCAAATAAAGCATTTGTCTGAATTATGAACAAGAAATAATCCAGGCTTTAAATCTCAATAAATGGATGACATCGTGTAACACCTTAGCTTTCCTTTTAATAGTAAACAAATTTCCATGGCTAATAAAAATAAATTCGTTTCTATTCATGGAATTGATAATAGAATAAAGATAGAATTTTATGTTATCTTCTTATGAAAATTTCATAAGACTCCGAAAGAAGTCAAGCTTCCAAGGGTAAAAACTTTAAAACTTTAAAATAATCAAATAAAACTCAACTTTACTTCTAACAAACTATTCAGTTCATTTTGAATACATATAAATTTTGAATTTTCACTAAGAACATTTCTAAAATATTTTTTACAACCAAAAATCTGCTGGAGGATTTAAATTCTGAAATCTAACAGTAAGATCATTTACAAACTTTGCTCAACCCAAATTGTAATTTAATAAAACAATACAATTTCTCAAACTATTTTAATCCCTACAGAGCAATCTTCCTTCCAACACCCTTGGATTATGATCCTAGGACGGCCAAACATCTTTATCTCTTTACATCCATTATCTGAAAAATATTAGTAAGGGTGAGTATCTCCTGCTCTACTAAATCTCTGGTTTGACATAAGTAAATACTCACATGCATGTACAGTACTAAGGATACCATCCAACACGAATTAAATCAACAATAACGCTCAATCATCTAAGTTACCATTACCAGGGAGCACGCACAGAACAAACAATCAATCATACTCATAACTTCATATCATATATCTTTCGACTGATATGCACACCATACTACATGTATTATACCATGTCAATTAATATGTCACAATGCATGTGTCCTAATCATACCTGTCGATGTATTACAATACATATATCGTAACAACACCAACTGACATGTTACAATGCATATATTATGACTACACAATTTCTATACCAATTCATACACATCACTCCTTCACGTTTATTTCACTTTCACATTCAATACCCCTGGGATCCCTTGAGGACTTCACAGTTTAGATAACCCCAGTTAGCCATAGCAACACGGATACACGTGTGCCGACCCAGCCCCTTCTAGCAAAGGTATAGTCAGGAGTCTCGTTAGGAAATGAGTGTCACTATCCCCCACTAGCATTTACCACCCTCATTTTCCCCAAGATTTTTCAAATCTTCTTCGAACTCTATACCCCCAGTTGTATCACTGTAGCTATCTAAACTCACCACCATATTTTTCACTCTTTTCCACACCCTTTTCACAGGGCACGTGTCATATTACGCAAGTCTTACCCACATAGCTTGGTGTATTATAATACATTTATTATGAGTACTCCCATTGGTCATATCACAATACCTGTATTGCAATCACATCCATTTGTCTAGTCTGACTCCTGTATTATGATCACTTGTTCAACATTTCATTCAATTCATTCACACGTACGCTCAATGCACTTAGCCATGCTCACTGTGACACTATAATTTCATCACACATAACACAAAAAACTTTTTCTTTATTTAAGAATAGTTAAAAATTTGCATTATATCATAGGTTCACTCATTTGGCATACTTCAACCATTAAACAGCATAAATACATCATCAATCAATCTGGTTCAACCAGTACCAACATACCACAATCATCATTAAATATTCATCGAACACAGAAAATCATCACACCAATCACATATCACACAATAAATACAATGTGCTGGAGGTCAGACACCTCCGGACTCAACTCAATCGTACAATCCATCATTCACGTTTCCCAATAATAACCACAGAGTCGTCTATCCTAAGGTTTGACGTCATTCCAACTACCTTCAAACAACTTTTTCTTATTAAAATTATAGTATTCCTTCAAAAACGGTTTCATTTGCATCCTTATTACAAATTACATTTAGATAGTTATCAAAATAGTCATTAGTTCCTTAATTTAAACTATTAAGAGAGGTTAGGGTTTGAGATTTACTCCCCCTTACCTTAGAATGGAGACCTATCACAAAATCAATGATAGAATAGCTCCCCACATGAATTTTCGTCCCTAAAGCATGGAAATCCCGATGAGAAACCGAGAATACAAGAAAGAAGAACGAGAAACTGAAAACCCTAACTCACAAACTTACCTCCAAGCCCCCCAAACTTGATTTCAACCTTCAATCTAACTTCCGAACGGCTTTGGAGGCAATTTAATTTATAAGAACGGGTTGGAAGTGAAGAGACCTGAGAGGATTTCAAAGGGAGGGATAGGAAATAAATTTCCCGAATCTTAAACCCTTCAAATACGACTCAGATCACAACATGCTCGCTACAGCGACACACTCTCGCTGCAGCGATACTCTTGTCGCTACAGCAAAAAACTTAGGAGAAATTACACCTTGGTTTCTACAGAATCTCGCTACAACGAGAAGACGACAGTTTCACGCCTTCCTTCTAGTGCCCTCTCACTACAGCGAGAACACCTTATACCAGACACTTAGCCAATTTTTTAATCCGGTCCCAAACATATTCAAACACACTCATACGCATCCATATTCATCTCACGAATTTACACCACCTAACAATACACATCATCATCAATAATCAATCATACAAACACTTAGAAATTTCCATATATATATATATATATACATATATATAGTAATAAAAATATTAATACAAAATTTGGGGTGTTACATATTGTAAACCTCTTACATAGTATTTGTGATTGATTGTTGAACGAGAGAATAAGTCTCAAAGATTTGTCAATCTTGTAAAATCCTTAATCAATATTTTACTTTCAGCATATCCAATTTTTTATCTCAAATTACAGAAGAAAGAGAAAACTACTACAAAGAAAATTCATATACAAAGTCAAATAACACATCATTTAGCAAAAATATGAAATTTGAAGTTCAAAAGTAAATCAACATTTAAAGTCATATGATTAGATATGTTCAATTTTAGTGGTAGGAAGAGGAACCACTGCCATCCAATCAATGAAAGAAGGTGGGAAGGAGCAGCTATGCGACAGTGTTGTTAGGGCTTAAGGATTCACACTAAAGCTCCATGCCTTTTTTAATAATTTTTAAATACAAAATTTGTAAGACTAATTAATGGTGTTAAAACTAACGTGAGAATTATTTTTTTTTGAGAACTAAAATGAATTAAAAAAAATGTTAGAGGACAAAAACGAAATTTACAACGGATGAAAAGATTAAATTTGTCTATTTATAATTATTGATATTATTTATTAAAAATAATAAAAATCACGTAAGTATCACTTGTAATTTAATAATTTTATTTTTAAATTAATCATTCTTTATGATATTTTATATTTTCAATAAATTTATCAAATAACTAATACCGTTAAAAAAAATGTGCGTTAAAGGATATTACAATTAACCCAAAGGTGACTTGTCATAACATACAACAGCAAATAGTGGGAGCATAAGTTGTATTAAGGATCATTTTCTTTCACACTTCAACCTAGATAACAAGTAGAAGAAAAGAAAGTAGCTTTTATATTGATCAATCCATGGTTTACAATTTGTAATCCAAACATGCTATTTATTACAGTATATTTTTATTCGCTGGTTGTGGTTGACATCGTTCCAACACCAGCTAGAAGATGAATTTTTGTTCCCCTTTTCCTGTTACTAATTTAAAAATTTAGAATTAATCTACTGTTCTGTTGGTGTGTTTTACTTTTTATTTGATTTCAAGTGTTGGTGTACCGGTGAGAGGCAAGTATATAATTGGTTTGTCATTACAGAACAATTTATTAAACAAAGTCTAGGTATATTAAAATACACTCCCAGAAAAAAAAAGAAAAAAAAAAGTAGAACCTTCCCTAAAACGAGATAATATAGGAAAAAGTAAATAAATTTTGAAATGGAAATCATATACGTAATTTTCTTGCCATAGCACCATAAACATATAAATAAAAAGCTCTTGGTTTGGATAATAGCTCATAAGCAATCAACGACATGTTGAGATTATTTTTCCAAAATCAAGTAACAAACACATGATTATAACAGCTTTCACTTGGTTGAGAATTTTAAGGACAGAAGGGTAATATATATAAATATAGAATATTGGTAGAAAACATGGCATGCCTAGTGAAAGCACATATTTTCATCATCAGAGGATGAAATCCTAGTCGTTTATGCTATGTATAACTAAATTTCACTAATTCAAACCATTATCTCTGCTCCACCATCATCACTTTTGCCTTCATAACAATCAGCCACTGCAACCTTTTGCACATTCTTATAGGAGTACTCACGAGCAAAGAACACAAACACAAAAAGGTTCAATCCGGTCATAATTGCCAGTAGACAATAGAACTTGTCCAAACGGCTACTATTCAAATCCTTACCAAACCAACTCTTCCCACTCTTAGTCGTCACCTGATCCACAATTATTATCAACAAACTACTAAGAAAACTTGCTGCCCCAAGTACACTTAGGTAAAGTGCTATTCCCAAGCTTCTCATTGAATCTGGTACTTGATCATAAAAGTACTCTTGCAAGCCCACAAGAGCGAACCCATCTCCAAACCCAATAATTAGAAATTGTGGGGCCAACCAAAAGACACTCATTGACAAAGACCCCTTTAATGGGCCATTCATATCAACAACTTGAAGCCTCTTTTTTTCTACCAAAGCTGCCACTATCATTGTGATAACTGAGAATAGCATTCCAAAACCAATCCTTTGAAGGATGTTCATTCCTCTCTCATTTCCTGTTAGCCTTCTCAACACTGGCACAAGGAGTTTGTCATAAACTGTCACTGAAATTATCATCCCAATCGCAGCAAGAGTGAAAATTGAGGGTGGAGGAATCTCAAACCCGTTGCCTATCTTTCTGTCCATGATGGCTCCTTGTTTGATGAAGAAAGTAGTTGTTTGTGAAGCACAAACCCCAAATGGTAATGTGAATACCCAAATGGGGATCATGTTGATTATGAGCTTCATTTCTTCAACCTTAGTTACTGTTGCAAGTTTCCAGGGACTCTGCTTCTGTGCCAAGTTCCCATCATTTTCAAGAATTGCTGCCTTGTCAAGAAATCTGATCAAACAAACCATACCATCACTCTATGTTAAATTATAGCAATGTCATAAAGGTACTGATTTTTTTTTAAATTTATTAAAATAATATTTACTATTTCAAAATTATTTTATAAGGTGTATTTATTCTTTTCCTTGTATTCTTAAAATTTTTATTAAAAAATTTTAATATATAGCAATTTTTAAAATGTGTATCCATATACATATGATAAAAAATATTAAATATGTCATATTAAATATTTTCAATTACTTAAATTAAATGTTGATTAAATTTTATGTTTATAATATAATAAATATTTTATTTTTTACTAATAACTTTGTTCCCTCTTTAACGTGTTCACTGGAACACATTAAGAAATTGAAGTTACATACCTCAGCAATAGTATATTTAGAACTACATTTTAATGTGTTTTAAAATCATGTTAACTTAGAAAATATAATTAAGAGTGTTGGAATATGCATAGATTCATACTTAATCAAATGTAAATTTAAAAACACACTAAATTGACCTTTCTTTCTGAATGTAATAATTTAGTTTTACTACTTACTTGAGTTTCTTGGTGTGAGCTAGAAATCTTTCCCTGTTGCCCTCAGACTTGGAAACCTCATACAATTGAGTGGGATTGGAAGGGTATGGAAGCTTCCTTTTGGAAATAGCAGCAACAAGAACCTGCAACATAGGAGTAAAGGGGCTCCCAGTTGGTGCTCTATAGCGATATGATGACCTTCCTATCAAGAATATGAGCAATGAGAAAGCCATGACACAAGTGAGAATGATGTCAGCAACACCCCAGTTCACATGGTCTTGTACGTAAACAATAAGGGTCACTCCTAGAATGAGTCCACTGCAGAGACCACAGTTCCACCAGTTGAAGAAGGACATTTTCTGTCTTCTTTCTTCAGCATGGTTATCATCAAATTGATCTGCTCCAAAGCTTTCCAAGGAAGGTTTATGTCCTCCAGTTCCTATGGAGATCAAATACATAGCTAGGAAGAAAACCACTTCATGAATTCTCCTAGGTTCACTGCACATGTTGGAATGATCACATGGCTTCAAACCTGGTAAGAACCATGACAGACAAAGCACCACCAAACCCTGTTTTTTTTTTTTTTTTATCACACAAAAACAAGTGGTTTCATAGTTAATAAGGTATATAATAAAAGTGGTTTATTAAAATCAACCCTTAAATATAAGATCTTTCTAACTACTTTATAAAATGTAGTTAATTTTATTAAATTTATTAATAATTTGAATAATTTTTCTAAAACTATTTTTAAAATTATTGGGACCCACTGTCCTACTCTCTCTACATTATTAATTACTTTAATTTTGATTAAGGGTATTTTTATAAAAGTAATAAATATAAAAATAACTTGCAAGGAAAAAAAGACAATGAAAAACCAAAAATAGTTATAAAGTTTTGCTGTAAAAGAAGTTATATATTATAATTTTAGTAATAAAATCTATCGGTTTTGGATTCTTGGAGTTGATGTAACAATTTTTATAATAAAAAGCCAAATTAATGATGATAATGTTATTGACCTTAAAAAATGATGATAATGTTATTAAGTCTTACTTGAGGGGTGAATGAGATTGGTTACCATAAGATAAATAATGCATGATGCAATCACAGTGGTGTAACGGCCCAAGTATGCATCAGCAAGGAATCCTCCGAACAGTGGCATCAAAGTAGTGACACCAGACCAATAGTTCACATTCTTAACTGCTGTCTTAAGATCTTGATGAATAACCTTTGTGAGGTAAAGGACCAAGCTAGTTGCTATTCCGAAATAGCTCAATCTCTCACTAAACTCAATCGCTGCAAAAGAAAAAAACAATTAAATCCACATGGTTGGTGTAAACAATAAGTTACTTTTTAATTTGTCAAGAATGAGAATATATAGGTTATGAATTTATACATGGCTAATTGTAGACCAGCTAAATGAGAGTGACATATTAACCCTTAGATTCAAGTAAATGGAATCATTCTTCAATATAGAAAAATAAGTGGTTTCAATATATGATTACTAATGTGTATAAAAGATAAAAACTAGGAGGATCCAAAGAACAAAAAAGGGAACAAGCATCCTGAACCATTAACCCCTAATTCTATACTTCGAATAGCTTCTGAATTAATTGGCCAAGAGAGCAAGTAGGTACAGTATCATTCTTGTTTCGAGATTTTGACCTACACTAAATGGGGTAAACTAGGAATAATAAGCTTTTAATTCTAAAAAGAATTGAATAGATTTAAAGCTAATAAGGTTAAGAGATGAATAGTGAAATATAATATCGATATCAAAGTTTACTTAACTGTATGGTTTTAATATCAAATTTATATTTATAATAGTGATTGGCACACGAAAGATGTCATTCTTTATGCTTTAAATATTGACCATCCGAGTAGAATAATAAAAATAAATAAATAAATAAAAACGTAAGATTCAAGCTGGGCCAATAAGGAGTCCGAAACTACTATTTAGCGTTAACATGGTCGTTGAGTTTTAATTCAGCGGTAAGAAACCACTGTTTTTTACTTCTTTTTGGTAGAAAGGGACAAAATTTTACCTATCTCACCAAAGATGACATATAAAAAGTTAAATGATTCTTTGCAATTTTGATATATAATTTCTATTTCTGAAAAGAAGGGGAAAAATCTAAACTCAGTTGTTTGAGAAATAATGCAAATGCTGCTGCACAAGCAATATGTAATCGTCTAAGGGCATTTGCGGGCTATTAAGGACGGTTACGTATTATAATAATACAGCATGCTATATATAAACATTGACCAAAGCTTACAGAGATAATGTTCATAAATTGTGTAATGTATTAAGAAAATTGCTGAGTAAATAAATTAAACTTAGGCCTTTCAAGTATAATTTTTTGCCTGTTTGAGAAAGATTATCTTTTCAGGAAATGATTTTTCTTTTCTATAAAATGTTTCTAGGAAGAAATAGATGAACTATTCTTTTTCATGCACTTAATCACCTTTTTTAATTTATCTTTTTTTAAAACAAAGTTATCTTTTCAACATTTTGCTTATAATCGTCTGATTAATTATTTTCTACATGCAATCCAACAATTTTTGAATTCATCCGTTACGTAATAGTGAAATAAAACACCAAATATTATGTCTAAATTACATTTCATAATTTTTTTCTGTAATTTTCTTTTGTTATACAATCTAAACACAATTTTTAGTGATTGTATATGTTAAATTTTACATAATTTAAATATTTGTAGATATGTTATCTAATAATTTATAATTAGTTATATTTTAAAAATATATTGTATTAAAATAAAGTAAAACAATAAAAATATAAGAAATAAGAATTTTAAACTATTATCTATATATATATATATATATATTTAATTAATGAAAATATACCCTTTTTGTTATAATCAATTAGAAAAATAACAATTATACATATATTCTACTAAATCTATTTTTAACCACTAATATTAATTCAGCCTACTTATCCGCTAAATAAGCTCTGATTATCCAATTATCACACTGTTTAGAAGGGAGTGGGGCATCTTTTTCACTAGTAATAGTGAATATATAATGCCTAATTTGTGTGGCTCATATCCATTATCTCGTCACTAATGCTACTATAATATATCTTCTTGTAGGTATAAAAAGTGGGACCAAGTGCTTCAGAGGTCGTGCTGCCCTTGACCATTTTAGTTCATGGGAATCTTACCATAGTTACTACCCAATTTGTATTATATATTCTTGCATGATTTGTATGGATATGCATCCGAGCATATGATCGAAATGGTGAAGAGATTTCTACCTTTTCCATAACTAGTATAAAAAATTTCATTATTTATGGAGAAAGAAAATACCAAACGTTTACATTACTTTTACTAGAATAGTTTTTATTTAATATAGATTGAATTATTAATATGAGGATTAATATTATATAATCATTTAATATATTAATATTATATATTAATTTTTATATTGATGTAGTTATTTTTTAATATAATGTATCATAATACATCTATAATATCCATATATACTCAATGTTAACTGTCATTAAATAAAAGTTATACCAACATAAATTAATACAATGCTAAAGAGTTATTTCTAGTCAACTAAGATTTTAAACTCTTTCAGTACTCCTTAACTTTGTAAAGCGTTATTTATGTTAGTTGTTTCTTTTACTTTATTTTCTAATGTCATATTATAATTAAATTAATTAAAATATTGTGTATTTTATAACATCAAAGACTAATAAAACAAAATTGAAAATCTTAAGAAATAAAAGACCCAATTCAAGCAATCTTATGATTAGTTTGAAAACATGAAAAAGTTCTTTAAACGTACTCCTATGAATCAAAGCAAACGATATTCTGCAATCTAAACTTCTTGGTTCAGATTAGGCTTGAAAAGTTGTTGTAAATATATTAAAGGTTAAAGCATTCATATCCTAATAAAGTAAAGAAGATGAAATACATTCCCAACACAATTTATGATTATATATACCAATATAAATAATTTTATTAACATAGCATATTGGGGTCCCGGAATATTCATGTAATAATGTAAATAAATGTAAAAAGCTTATGAAACAAACCCGTCACTCGGTAACTTCAAGTATATATAATTAGATAATTGCAAGCTTGCAACCGAATTTTTAAGCTAGTACATGTTAATCAGTTTCAGGGGTTTTAATTAATTCAGTAATGCCTTTAGGTGAAAATAGTGTTCATTTATATGGAGTGAGTGACACAAGTACGAACATATACACAAATAAATAACATATTTAGTGAAAACATTAGAAGTACAAGAAACTAATTTTAATTATAGTTATACACGAATAGATAATAAATATTTTACTTAAATCTAATATTAATTTATTTATGATAATCTGATCGATCAAAATTCATTTATATCACAAAAGCATGGAACCTAAAACAAACCATAGAAATTCCAGAACCGCAATTTAGAGATGAAGTTACAGAACTTATTAAAAATTAAATAGAAATATAAATTAACAAACAAAATGATGTAAATACTTTTAGAGTGATAGATTAACAGTGTTTTGCTTGCGAGTGTCTTAGAGGAAGTGCCTAATTAACGAATAAGCATAATAATTTTATTAGAAAATAAATATAATAAAGATATATTAATAATATTAAAATAAATGTTATAATTTATTATCATTTTAATTTCATAAAGTCACATATTAAAATTTTTCATTAATAAATAAAGTTAAGGAATAGAAAACTAGTTAGCATATATATTATATCAAATTTCTTATTATATATCTGTAGAGATTGACTTTAGCATGCAGGTATTCCTTTCCTTACCGATAATGAAGAGAGAAGCTTTCCAAGAGCCAGTTGAAGTTCGAAGAGGAACTCTGCGTCTGTGATCCAATGAAGAATCATGAACCCATTTCATCTTATCATTAACCTCCCCAGGATTTGCATCATGTTTATTCTTCTCCATCTTGCTATGCTTGTCGAGTGATGCTAAGTTGAAGCTGCAAGTAGAACACTAGCTTCCTCGTGCAGGTATTAGGTGAATATTGGAGTTAGTGGCTATTGCATTGACAACCTTTACCATAGAACCTGCTTATATAGAGGATGATAATTGCCTTTTTGACCCACTATTGGGTGAGCAGGGTTTTGGAATAATGATGAAAATCTCTCTCATGTGCAATGATTGCGATTTGCGAGAAAGAATTTACCATTTTCTTTTTAATATAAGAGAGAAGTTTTGGTGCTTATAGAAATTTTAATTGTGAAATGCACCGTTAGATTAGTAAATTAAGAAAGACCCATAGGGCTTGAAACTCAAGTCCTTGTTGTAAAGATGCTCTTAAGTAGCACTTAGCAAATGTCATTGTTATAATGGAATAGCATTCCTTCCATTTTCTTCCACGGGACCACGGTAGTGTTCCTTATTGGGCACCAGATTTACGTGTCAGCCAACCAAAAGAAACTATAGCTATATGTTACTACGTGTTTGGTTCATACACAATAGGGTGAGGCCTATCACCAAAAATAGGGGGGGGGGGGGGGGAGAGGAAATTACTGCATTCACAAGTTCAGTGTATGCTTATTTTATTTTTAAATAAATAATTGACAATTTTTATTATTTTTTAGATAATTTTCAAAAACTAAGTAATTGATTTTTAAAATCTAATATTAACCAAGTGCATGCCATTGGAGGTTTTATCTTCTGTTTTACTGACACTTTCTCTTTTTCTTTTTCCTTTCACTGGTGAAGATGTTAAATGAAAATTATGTGTGTGTGTTTTATCTTTGAGTGAATATGTTTGCAAACATAATTGTAAAACCAACCCTAAGGATGCAAAAGTAGTGATTAGGATTATATATATAATTTTTTTAAAAGTGGTAAACCATTATCCCAAAACATTTACAAATTAATCAACTTTGGTATTAGTGTATTGATCAAAGGTACAATATATGAAATTACATATGGATAATTTGTTTAGATTTAAATTTTATTAAAGGCCTAATTATATTTTAAAATCTTTTAGTTTATAGATTATATACATTTTTAAGTCTTCTATAACCTTTTTTTAACTAACCAACTTATTTTTAATTTTAAAATAAAACAAAATTTCTTCTACAACATATTTTTATTTATGATAAAAAATACTTAAATTATTATTTTTATCTAAATATTGAGAAGTTTACAATGGATATAAGACACAATAATTTTAAAATCTTAAAGTTAGATATTTAGAAATAAATGATTCAATTTAAAGAATTTCACTAGACGAGAGATTTGAATTTAAAGAGAAAAAAAATACAATTTATTTTATTTTGGTTGAAATATAATGTTTTTAACGGGCGAGTTTTAAGGAAAAGGATATTTCAAATAGTTTAATCAATTCAATTTGCAAAACAAATATTTAAGAAAATGTAAATTTAAAGATTTTATGTAGAAGAAATTTAATAAAAGAATAAATTTATTTAATTTTAAAATTCCTGAGGATGTAAGAGTTGCTAAAAACGAGGTACAGATCTCTTTCAATTTAAATTATTCCCCCAACTCGTCTTAATATGATATAAATTTTGATGGGTTTGACTTTCAGAAATAGACCTAGTATATATTTTGAAGGCAGATTTAAATTATAGTTCAGGTTGTCTTCATCTGGTTTCAGTATATATTTTTTTTATAAATTTTATAATTAAAAAAGGTTCATTTTTACTCTTTGATTACATGCAATTTAAATTATGTCTTTTTGAAATATTTAATGTAACACTTTTTTCTCTTTTAAAAATATTTAATGTAACACTTTGTCTATTTGAAAACGTACGAAGAAGTTTTTGAGTAGTCTAATTTTTTTGTTTTCTAATAGAAAAATTAGGAGTAAACGTAAGAATAACACAATGACTTTTTTTTTTTTTCATCAGACTTTCAAAGTTAAAATTTAAATTTAACATCGCTAAATACACGTAGAGATAAAATACTTTTTTTCTTTATAATACGTAGATATTTATGTAATAGTAATAATATTTATTAATTTTATGACTTAGTTATATATAATATTAAAATTGATATATTTTATTTAAAAGTTGAGCTTACTTAATCTATTTTAATGTTATAAAAATTTTAGGTCGAGTAAATAAATTCGTCCCACCTGTCATATGTAAACGGCTAGGGGACCCTATAATCCTATATAGGCTGACTTTCAAAGCATGAGAAAGTTAGACTAAAAATATATATAAAATACTAAAATTATCAATAATATAAATTAAAAGAATTGAATGTGTTATTATATAGTAGGAACAAGTTTCTTGTCACAATTTGAATATTATAAATGTTTAAAATCTTACGATCACTGTAATAAAAACTTTAATTTTATGAAATTCAATAAAATTTTCCTAAATATTTAATTGTACATTTTTTAATGAATTGAATGTGTTATTATATAGTAGGAACAAGTTTCTTGTTACAATTTGAATATCTTTAATATAAATGTTTAAAATCTTACGATCACTGTAATAAAAACTTTAATTTTATGAAATTCAATAAAATTTTCCTAAATATTTAATTGTACATTTTTAATGCGTATTTAAGAATATTTTTTAAAACAATAGTAAATTATTTATTGAAAATTATAACATTCAATTTTATTTCAATACAAACTTAGAACAGATACATTCCCATTGTGTGCTATAAGTTATCCATTAAAAATATTGTTAGTTGTGAGGGTGCGTTTGCTAAGGTATTTCATCTAGCTGAAAAGCTTGGTTAATAGAGATAATAAGTGTTGAGTAAAGTAGCTAAAATAGTTAGTTACTTGTATTGCTTTGAACGCTGCTCGTAATAGCAATTTTTATTTTAATTATTAGCTGACAGTGATATTTTATTGTGTTTCGTTTCTATTATTTTTTAAATAATTTCTTCTTTGCTCGTTAATATTTTTAAACTTTGCTTTCTTTTACTGTAAATAGCACCTGTAGATAAAAATTCTTACATCGATTAAAAAAGATTTTTTACGATCGGTCCTGCATCTTATGTAGATATAAGTGATATAGAAAGTGACATTTTCTATATCAATTATTCATAATAATCGATGTGAAAAAATACACTTTTTACATTGATTATCCATAATAATCAATGTAAAAAATGTTTTTCATATTCATGTTTGTCTTCTCATGATATCAGTGTTTCTCTTCTTTGATATTTTTAATGTTCACGATAATATTATCAATATATTTTCTCACATTTAAAACACTGTTCAAATTAAAATTTATAAATATCAGTGTTCATCGTGTTCGTTAAGCATCTTGTTCGTTGTGTTCATTGTATTCGTAATTGTTCATCTTTGTTTAAATCTATAACATAAAGAATATACAGTGTTTGTTAAATTGTTTAATAAAGAAGAAGATACAGAAAATAAAGCAAGTGGTCCAAACCCCTTTGGGTGTTTAGATTGGATAGATCTCAAAAAGTGATAAGATTGAGGAATGTTAAGATTGCATTGAAAAAATAGAATATTGAGGTATTTAAAAATGTTGATAAGGTAATTTCTGATTTGACAACTGAGTTGAGCTTGATTAATGATAAAAATTCTGTGATGGAACTTTTCGATGTGGAGAAGGAGCGACAACAGATATTGGTGGGTGATATTTGGAAGGCTAGGAAAAATAGGGAGAGTCTCAGCCCAAAAAGCTCGAGTGAGATAGGGGAAGGAGGGTGACTTAAATACAAAGTTCTTTCATTTGTGTGTTAATGGGAGGAGGCGCGAAATAATATACATGCGCTTCAAATTGGGGAGAGATGTGTAGAAGAGGTTTATGAGATTAAAACAGGTGTGGTGGCCTATTTTACGGCTCATTTTAGTAGTAGAGGTTGACTTTGACCTACTATTGATGTTAATGGTTTACCGAGAGTCTCTGTTCTTCAGAATGAGGGGCTTGTTAATGCTTTTTCGGAGGAGGAAGTAGGAAGGATGATTTTGAAGTGTAAGGGGAATAAAAGTCCAGGACCTGATGGTTTCAATTTTGTGTTCCTTAAGAGGTTTTAGGGAGTGATCAAGGAAGAAGTGATGGTAATGCTTACTAAATTTTATACAAATGAGAAACTACCTAGGTCTTTGTTATCTTACTTTGTAGCACTTGTGCCAAAAGTGTCTTGCCCACAACAGATATCTGATTTTCGGCTTATCTCATTATTAGGTTGTCTTTATAAGATTGTTTCCAAGCTTTTGGCAAATAGGTTGAAAGGGATTTTGGATTCAATAATTTCAGAAGAACAATCAGCCTTTATCCCGGGAAGGAACATGTTAGATAATGTGCTTGTGGCTAATGAAGCAGTTGATTATGTGTGGAGGTATAACAAGAGGTGTTTTGTATTAAAGCTTGATTATGGGAAGGCTTATGATTTGGTGGAGTGGGGATATCTTTTGTTTATGTTACGTAGCTTTGGATTTTCAGAAAAATGGGTCAGTTGGATGGAAGCTTGTGTGTGTGGGGGTAGCCTATCAGCTTTGATTAATGGTTATCCTACATTGAAGGTTCATATTGAGCGAGGCCTAAAACAGGGGATCCTCTTGCTCATTTTCTTTTTCTTGTGACAGCGGAAGGGTTAGGAGTTCTTATGCAGAAGGCAGTGGCTTGTGGGTTGTTCTCTGGTGTGAAAATTGGGGTAGGGGGACTGAATATTTCTTTACTGCAGTTTGTGGATGACACATTGATTATGGGAGAGGCTTCGGTTCAAAACTTGTAGACTTTGAAAGTAGTATTGCATAGCTTTGAATTAATGTCAGGTATGAAAATTAACTTTCATAAAAGTAGTGTATTGGGGATTAACACTGGTGATGACTTTGACAACTTGGCTGCAGAGTTCCTATATTGTAAGATTGGTAGTTTCCCATTAAAGTATCTCGAGTTACAGTTAGGTGTTAACCCGAAAAAGCCTAGTGCATGGAAGGGTGTGCTAGAGGCTCTTAAAAAGAGGTTAGCGTCATAGAAGCATAGGTATTTATCGATTGGAGGTAGGGTGACTTTGATCAATGCCGTTCTTAATTCTATGTCATTGCACTCGTTTTCCT